GTATTACTTTGTGACAGTGTTGTGCATAACAGAGTTGTGGCAGAGTTATGGCAGAGTTATGACAGAGTTGTGTATGTGCACTGAATGTGCCATGTCACCTTCTTTTTGTTCTGGGAACACATGAGCACATAGCTACTAAGTGCCTCACATAGTTTCCTCTTTGTTTAGGGAGAGCTCTTACCACAAAACCTGAAGCTGAATCAAGAAACAGAACTATACTCAAAATGCCCTCATGCTCCTGTCTAGTAACTATTCCCTTTTCCCATCAAGAGAAACCACTATCATGGCTTCTAATAGCATAGATTAGTTTCACTTGCTTTTGTATATTTTCTTACAATTAATTTTATTTCCTAAAAAGGAAATGGTGCATCATAGTAGTACATAATGGTGGGTTTTGTTTCATATTTGTGTATGCACACAGCATAGCACTGCTTTTGAATTTTATGTAAACGAAATCATACTTCAGTATTAACTAGTATCTGGTTCCTTTTGCCCAGCATTATGTGTAAGTCACTTATGTTGTTAAATATAATAGTTGATCATTCATGCTCATTGCCCTCTAGCATTCCACTGGTGGAATATACTATGATTTGTTTATGTATTCTACTGTTGAGTATTTGATTAGTTTGCAGTTTGGAGCTTTTACAAATGATGTTATTATGAACATTCAGATACAAATCATTCAGTGAACAAACATATATGGGTGTATACTTATGAGTGGGATATTTAGAGTTATATAATACTTCCAAGTAGTTTTGCACAGTGGTCATACCCATTTACACTCCCACGACCAATATTTAATTGTTTTGTTTCACATCCTTGTCAACATTTAATATTTTCTGATTTTAAGTCTTTTTTGATAAGTCTATAGTGTTCTCTCATTGTGATTTTTCATGTGCATTTTTTTTCTGATGAAGTTCATTTTTTTTTCATTTCTTTATGGGCAGTTGGGATTCTTTTTGTGTGGCATCTGTTCAAACCTTTTGCAGTTTTTTTTTTCTGTTCTGCTGTCTGTCTTTTTCTTGATGAAATTTAGTTTTTTTAATACATTCTGGATATGAATCCTTTGTCAACATGTATATTGAGAATATTTTTTCTTAATCTTGAATTGCTTCTTTGCTCTTAAGAGTATAGTAATGAACAGAAAAATGTAAGTTTAATTTACTCCAATTAATCAAAATTTGGAAAACACTTTTAAATTAAAATGAATTAACACAACACCAGCTGGAGTTCATGAGACATTTTGTGTTTAGTTTAAAGAATACAGCAAAATTTGCAGTCTCACAGAGTAATTAATTGTGACTTAAATGATCACATTTTAATTTTTGTGTTAAGACATATACACAAATAAACATTTTATAGTATGACAAACATATGCTGAAATGAAAATTCAAGATACCCAACATAAACAGTAAATATTCTATATGTGAGATGACTGTTAATAAACTCTTTAAATAACAAAACAGAGCTGGGTACTGTGGCGCATGCCAGCCTCAGCAAAAGTGAGGTGCTAAGCAACTCAGTAAGATCCTTTCTCTAAATAAAATACAAAATAAGCCTGGGGATGTGGATAAGTGGTCAAGTGCCCCTGAGTTCAATCCCCAGTACTGAAACACACACACACACACACACACACACCAAAAAACTAAAGCCGATTCACAAATTCATGTATCTATTAGTTTCTAATGACATTCTTCATATGGCACAGTATTTCTTAAAGCAGACTACCAATTCACTCAAGAACAACTATATAAATTTGTTTGAAATGCTATACACACACTCACAGTTTAACAGGAAAGTATTGCTACTTTATTTAGAACCCATCTAACATTTTACAGAACCTTTGTATTTCTCAGACTTTTATCTTAAGCACAGCATGCAATTATGGAAATATATGGTAGTAGAAGAGTAAGTAGATTAATAGTAGATGAATAGTAGTTCCATGTGGCCAGAAAGCAGACTGTATGGGAGGGAATAACTGAGTGGGGGCATTGAGGAAAGGGTAGGAGTTGAGGCCACAGAGCTAGACAAGGACAAGATTCTGATGGTTCTCAAGTATACGCTAAAATACTTGAATTATATTCTGTATGGACAGTGAGAGTGTTTTAAGATTTGTATTCTTGAAAGGTGATTCTGATGGCATTATAGAAGACAGACTGAATGAAAAGAATGGTTGCCAGGAAGATCCAGGGCTACTAAAGTTATAAGTTGGAGAAGTGAATATATATATATATATATATATATATATATATATATATATATTTTTTTTTTTTTTTTTTTTTTTCCATTTACAAACAAGATTTAATGATGCTCATAGGAACAGTTTGCCCCCATATAGGAAAACTACCCAGTTCTGTTTCAAAAAGTCACAAATTCAGTGCTTGAAAGCCAGTAGGAAGCAGCGGCACCAAGCCTGCCCAGCAGGGACCGCCCAGGCCTTCTGTAGCAGGGTGGGTGCCGCCGCATGTGCTAGTGACCCCTCCCCGATGTCTCAGTACCGCCTGTTCATCTTCTTGAACTTATCATAGTGGTAGTCATCAGTGGCCTTTTCATTAGCAGGATGCTTGCGGTTAGGAGGAGACCGCTCAGGCTCTGGCTTCTCCGTGTCACCCACTCGCAAGGGCCGGGCTTTGGGCTCTTTGTTTCTCTGGATGGGAGCATTTAGCTCCTCATGATAAAATCGGTTGTATTGCACGTAATTCACAGCTATGTTCGTCGGCACGAAGGATGATGTCTCACTGTCTTTCTTCTTGTTCTGCTGCTCTGCCAGCAGGCGAGCCTTGGCATCCTCCGTGGAAATGATATTTTTTATTTTTGCATCGATGCCCAGGTCCACCTCGGGGATGCCACTCAGCATCTGGTTGGAAAGCATCTCCTCAGTCTTCTTTGCAGAGGAGATGCGGGTGTTTTCAGGAAGTTCATATAGACAGTCCTCTGCGTTCTTTGGCTTGATTTTCAGTTCCTCATGTTCCACAATCCTTTTCCTCTTCTTTAGCTCTGTCTCAATGTACTTCATCATGTCTGCATCTTCATCCCTCCAATTGGTTTCTGCAGGAAACGATGGACCCAGATGAATGTCCTCCTCTTCACTAATCTTATCTTTCCCCCTTTCCTTCAATTTCTTCATGTCCACCATACCACCTGTCTTCATCTGAAAGGGATCATCCACTAGTGTGGTCTCTTCTTTACCTTCTCTCCCACCAGCAGGGCAGCAGCACTCACCACTTTGGGCCTCTTTCTCAAGTTCTGCACCTCTCGGGTCTCTTCCAGTTTTTGCAGAACCTCCTCCAAATCCTGCTCATCTTCCTCCGACTCAGAGTTGGCCCCTCGCTGACGAAACATCTTTCCGGTGACCCACATAGTGGCACCGACCCCCCGGGTCCTTCAGCCGCGCCGCCGCGCCGAGTTCCGGGAGAAGTGAGTATATTCTAAGTGAAGGCAGTAGGAGTGATAAGAGAAAAGTGAAGATAGGTGTGAGGGCTCTTTTAATCAATTAACTAATTAATTCATTAATTATTTTTTCATACTTTAAAAAATGTAATTAGTTATACATGACAGTAAAATGAATTTTGATGTATTGTACACAAATGGAGCACAACTTCTCCTGCCTTTGGCTGTATAGGGTAATAATGTCTGTCTCATTTTACCGTCCTCCCATCCCTGAAACTCCTTCCCTCCCCTCAATCCTAAAGCAAAGTTCCTTCATTTTTCCCTACCCCCACAACTATGGATCAGTATCTGCTTATCAGAGAAGACATTCAGCTTTTGGTTTTTTTGGGATTGGCTTATTTTCTTTAGCATGATATTCTCTAGTTCCATCCATTTACCTGAAAATGACACAATTTCATTCTTCTTTAAGGCTGAGTAATATTCCATTTTGTGTATGTACCACATTTTCTTCATCCATTCATCTGATGAAGGACATCTAGATTAGTTCCATAGTTTAGCTATTTTGATTTGAGCTGCTGTAAACATTGATGTGGCTGTGTCACTGTAGTATGCTGATTTTAAGTCCTTTGGGTATAGATCGGGGAATGGGATAGCTGGGTCAAGTGGTTGTTCCATTCCAAGTTGTCTGAGGTATCTTCATAATGCTTTCCAAATTGGTTGAACCAATTTGCAGTTCCACCAGCAATGTATGAGTGTACCTTTCCTCCCACATCCTTGCCAACACTTACTATTGCTTGTATTCTTGATAATTGCCGTTCTGACTGGCATGAGATGAAATCTTAGAGTAGTTTTGATTTGCATTTCTCTAATTGCTAGAGATTATGAATATTTTTTCAAATGTTTGTTGATCAGTTGTATTTCTTCTTCTGTGAAGTGTCTTTTCAGTTCCTTAGCCCATTTATTGATTGGGTTATTTGTTTCTTTGGTGTTAAGTTTTTTGAATTCTTTATATATCCTGGAGATTAGTGAATAGATTATCTGAGGTAGGTGGGGTAAAGATTTTTTTCTGAGGGCTCTTTTAGAGGGAATTATTAACATTTAATGTTTGGCTATGGAGTACAAAGGAGGGAGAGGAGCCAAAGATAAAGCTGCTTCTAGCCTGAGTGGATGCTGATTCACTTGTCTGAGAATGAACCTGGGATCTGGTCTTAGCCAGGTGTGGTAGAGATCAAATGAGTTTAAGGGATCTTAATCTACAAAGTGGTCTAGGAAGTTCATGTTCAGAAATTAGAAATGTAGAAGTGGGATGCACAATACCGATTAAACCTCTCTGTAGAGTTAGTATCTGAAGCTATGAGAATAGATGTGATTATCCAAGGAGAGAGCATTGAAAAGAGCAAAGAACTGAAGAAAATCCTGGGGGAGACTAACATTTAAAGGGAAGAACAAGTAGAAAAAAGGAGAGATTGAGTTAGGTATGTAGGGGTAGGTGAAAATCGCCTTAGTGTTTTGGGACTGAAATTGTAGCTCAGTGGTAGCAGACTTGCATGCATGAGGCTTTTGATTTGATACTCTATACTGCTAAGACAACAATGAAACAAAATAGTGTTATGGCAGGTATAAAGAGGAAAAAAGTGAGTGTGAGAGCATAATTTCCAGTGCTTCAAAAAAGTTACACGTTAATATGAAATGAGAAGAAGCAATGGTATGATGCACTTGGTGACTATGGAGAGAACAGTGAAGAATGGAGCCAGGGAGTGGGAGGAACCAGATTTCCATGAGATCTGAGAACTGTATGAGAAAGGAGGAGAGTATACATTTCTAGAAAAATTCCAGTGTTGTGATCTTGAATTACCTGGGTAACTGTTTTGCCTTCTTTTCTGCCTTGAAGATTAAGATCTATTTTTAAAATTTTATTTATCTTAATTAGGTATATATGACAGCAAAATGCATTTTGATTCATCGTACACAAATGCAGCACAACTTTTAATTTTTCTGATTGTACATGATGTAGTATCACTCCATATGTGCAGTCAAATAGGGTAATAATGTCCATCTACAATCAATCAACAAATATATGAAAAAATGTTCAACATCTCTAGTAATTAGAGAAATGCAAATCAAAACTACTCTTAAGATTTCATCTCATGCCAGTCAGAATGCAGTTAACAAGAATATAAACAACAATAAGTGTTGGTGAGGATGTGGGGGAAAAGGCACACTCATACATTGTTGGTGGAACTGCAAATTGGTGCAACCACTCTGGAAAGCAGTATGGAGATTCCGCAGAAAACCTGGAACGGAACAACCATTTGACTCAGCTATCCCTCTCCTCGGTCTATACTCAAAGGACTTAAAATCAGCATACTACAGTAATGCAGTCACATCAATGTTTTTTATAGCAGATCAATTCACAATAGCTGAGTGTACTAATTACAATTCATAGGCCTGCTCTTTAAGATCATTTTACTAATCCATTCTCCATTTTAATTTTGCTATGTGTAGTGATTTTACTTATAGGAATGAATAGACTCTGGAGAGATACTGAATGAAAAATAAATGTGTAAGGATAAGTCTAGTAATTTGGGCATGGGTACCGGAGGAGATTGATCCCAGAGACACTTAACAGTGAGCCATATCACCAGTCCTTTTCATTTTTTATTTTGAGACAGGGTCTCGCTAACTTGCTTAGGGTCTCACTGAATTGCTGAAGCTGGCTTTGAACTTGTGATCCTCCTGCCTCAGCCTCCCAAGTTTCTGGGATTACAGGCATGTGCTACCATGCCAGGCCTAAATCTAGTTATTCTAAGATAGCCCTTTAAAAGCAATAGTTAGAACAAAATGTATTTAAATGCTGAATATACACTCTAGTTTTTTGTCTCAATTGAATTTGTTCTTTGAAGAAGTTCAAAGAACCAAGTAGTAAACTTTTCTCCCTATTAACATGTATAACTATAGTGGGGGGTGGGGCAAGCCCATTTCTCTATTAGCATGGATATTAGACAACTATTATTCTAATAAATTCTGTCCTGTTCTCATTTTCCAGGTCTTCTACTTATTTTGTTTCTTGTGCTCTTAAACAAGTATCAACTTATTCTTTTATATTATAATCTCTTTCTGGATCATCTCCTTCTTTTGTATTATAAAAATGTATCTGGGACTCTTCACTTTTTAAAAAATGTTAATGTTTGTTTAAAATCTGGATAGTAAATCTTATTGATCAATAAGTAAAATGAGAACTATCATTTGGAAAACAAATATGGAGAGCCACAAATTTCATTGTTAGATGCTACTTTTCAAAACCTTATTTTTAATTTTTCACACCTATATTTAATGATATACCTTGGCCTCATTCCAATTTAATTTTCTTGGGCAGTGTTTGATGAAATGCACTGTATTATAAACACATAAGCATGAGAATTTGTTTATAGTAGCATATAGTTGCGCTTTCCTTTTTATTTGGAGCATAGAATTATGAAAGACATCTTTTGGGTAATTAAGCACTTACTGTATGCCAGTCACTATCCTAGGCATGGGCGTAAACCCACTCCTTTGGCTTTATTTTTTGACAGTTCTAGTGTTAAGTTTTGTCTCCATCTCAATGATTATACTTCAAGTAACCCACCTTACTGCTCAATTCTCCTATGTCATTTTCTTTTTCTTTTTTAAAAAAATATTTATTTTTTAGGTTTTAAGTAGACACAATATCTTTATTTTACATTTATATGGTGCTGAGGATCGAACCCAGTGCCTCATGCCTGCTAAGTGAGCATTCTACCACTGAGCCACAACCCCAGCCCCTCCTATGTCATTTTCTTTCTGATAATCTCTAAATGTTATACCAACATAACATAGAGGAAGAGGTGATTTCTATTTTAGGGTAGGAAAACAATATGAAAAGATAAATGACTCATATAAAATCATAACATAAATCAATGATCAGTATTGGACTGATCTGTTTTTTATGTTGTTTTTATTTTTATTTTATTTTTTGTTTTGCTGGGGGTTGAACTCAGGGCCTGTACATGTGAGGCAAGCACTCTCCCAACTGACCTATATTCCCAGCCCATTTTGGACTGATCTAAATCAAAACTCTAATTACATATTTTTTTAGTTGTCAATAGACCTTTATTTTATTTATTTATATGCAGTGTTGAAGGTCAAACCCAGTGCCTCACACATGCCAGACAAGAGCGCTACCACTGAGCCACAACCCCAACCCCCTCTAAAATATTTTATTAGTGCATTATGCATAGTATTATTATGCTATATTCATATGTGCACATGACATAATTTGATCTATGATCTATGATCAATTTGATTCCCTAGTACCTTCCTTTTCTCTCCCTTCCTACCTCCCAATCTGCTTGTTGTACTCTATAGATCTCCTTTCTATTGTTGCTTTTATTATTTTAGTGCATTATAGTCATACATTATGCTATATTCATGTATAAACATATATATAAGTATGAACAGTGAATAATATGAGTATATATATGCTCATATAGAATGTTCATACGTAGACATAACATAATTTGCTAGATTTTGTACCCAATACTTCCCCATGCCTTCCTTTCCTCCCTCTCTCGATCCTTTTCCTTTTTTCTATTGGTATTTTTATTTTCATGAGACCCCTTTTTTCTTATTCCCATCCCTCTCTGTAGCTTCCACTTATGAGAGAAAACATTTTACCTTGAACTTTCTAAGTCTGGCTTATTTCAGTTGTCATTATCTTTTAATATAATTTTCTTTTCTTCTCTACATACTTGGATTTATTATCTAATATTAATTTCCATCTAAATATGAAGTATACAGGGAAGAAAAGAAACTTGAGAATGAGACATATTTTTTTTTCTTTTTTTTTTCAGTGAGAGGGAGAAATAACAGACAAATGAGATTGAGATGTATGTTTTAAGTTGGTCAATAATCGGGATGGTCTCAATACTACCTCATAATTACTTTGAAGTAGAAAGAAGTAAAAGTAAGGCTAACTGATTTTGCAACCAGTTCAGTTTTGCTACATTGTAGACAGGGAATACTGCTAAATTGTCATCAAAATTGAGACTAAGATAATTATCAATGTAGGATTTATTTTTTATTTTTATTTTTTTAAATATTTATTTTTTAGTTGTACACAATACCTTTATTTTGTATATTTATTTTTATGTGGTGCTGAGGATCGAATTCAGGGCCTCACACGTGCTAAGCGAGTGTTCTACCGCTGAGCCACAACCCCAGTCCGGATTTATTTTTAATAGATATTTAGAAATTAAAAACATTTTATAGGCCATACAACTAAATGAGTTATATAAATAAAACAAAGGAAATATCCTACTGAGCATGGACATTTTCAGTACTACATTCAATAGCTGAAAATAGATGGTATTTCTGTTTTTGTAGATCTCAGTTCAAAAATCTCTGAGAGGAAAAAAAAATGTTCTGGGTTACTGGATATTACCAAATGGTGAATAATTAAAATTTCACAAAGGTTGAACAGTTTTTTATAGTGGCTGACATTACCTATAAGACTGGATTCATTTCCTTAAAATAATTTATCTCTTTAAAAATTTTCCTGAAAATTTGTAGCAAATATTCAGTGTTATTTTAAGAAATACTATTTGTTTTTTTAAAAAAATGGACTTGTGCCAGAACAGAACATATATTAATCTGAAAATAATGCCTTTGGACAAGCAATTATTGTCACTTCTATGCCAAGAATTGATAGCTGGGTTTTCCTATAACAGATGTAATAATCAATCAATTAAAAATTAATCAATTGTAAAAAAATGAACTTGTGTAAAGAAAAAAAATCAATATTTAATTATTCATCAAATGTATGCCAGTATATTAAACAGAGGAGAGAAAAAAGATGCATTTCAGTGTTTTGGACTTGCTTACCTATTATTTATAAAGTTGTATAAACATAAGATGTTGGGAGATGCCACTGGATCCTATATACTACTCTCACGTCAGAAATGAGCCTCAACTATTCAGACTTATGAAAAATGAAAAGCTTACTGTCAAATTTTCCCATAGTTCTTTAAATTCAGGTGTAAACTTGTAGTAAATTTCTGGAATAGGCTGAATAATTAAAAAAAAAGATGTTGGGATTTAAAAAAAATCATTAAATAAGAAAGAAAATATTAATTTAATATATTTCAAAGCAAAAAACATAAACTCGGAGGGGCTGCGGACTCCTCCCGCAGGAGGTAACTGTCAGCGCGCGAGGCGGCGGGCCGGCCCAGTCATATGACCGGCCGCCGGCGTCCCCGGCGCGGAGCACAGTTCCTTAGCCGCTGCTGCCCCGCCGCCGCCGCCGCCGCTATGGCCCCGCCGCTGCGGCCGCCGCGCCTGGCTGCGCGCTGAGCTGCCGGCCCCGAGCGCGCGGCCGGAGCTGCAGCGGCGGCGGCAGCATCGTGGCCCCGACCCTACTCCAGAAGCTCTTCAACAAAAGCGGCAGCGGCGGCAGCACAGCGTCGGCGTCCGCCCAGGGCAGGGCTCCCAAGGAAGGACCCGCCTTTAGTTGGTCATGTTCAGAGTTTGACTTGAGTGACATTCGCCTGATAGTTTACCAGGACTGTGAGAGGAGAGGCAGACAAGCGTTGTTTGATTCTAAAGCTGTTCAAAAGATTGAAGAGATGGCAACTCAGAAAACAGAGGATGTCCCTGTGAAAACGTCAGCCAAGTGCTGCCAAGGAAGTAGCAGCAGCGGAAGTAGCAGCAGCAGCAGCAGCAGCAGCAGCAGCAGCATCTCTTCCCATAGTTCTTCTGGAGGATCTTTACAACACACCAAGGAGCAGCTTCCAAAGTACCAGTACACAAGACCAGCTTCCGATGTCAACATGCTAGGGGAAATGATGTTTGGCTCAGTCGCAATGAGTTATAAAGGCTCCACCTTAAAGATACACTATATACGTTCTCCTCCACAACTGATGATTAGTAAAGTTTTCTCTGCTAGAGTGGGCAGCTTCTGTGGAAGAACAAATAACTTGCAAGACAGCTTTGAGTACATCAACCAAGATCCTCATGCAGGAAAACCGAACACGAATCAGCATAGTTCGGGTCCTGGTCGTGCCGGAAGTAACCTAGGTCTGCTGCAAGCATGCAGCAGCAAACTGCTGCAGGGGGCAGCTGAAGGAGGACCTCTCCGGCTCACCCGGAGTGCTTCTTTCTTTGCAGCACACAGCACCCCAGTTGATATGCCAAGCAGAGGACAGAATGAAGACAGGGACAGTGGCATTGCTCGATCAGCCTCACTAAGCAGCCTTTTGATCACGCCTTTCCCATCGCCAAGCTCCTCTACATCTTCTTCCAGCAGTTATCAGCGCCGTTGGCTTCGAAGTCAGACGACAAGTTTAGAGAATGGCATCTTTCCAAGGAGGTCCACTGATGAGACATTTAGCTTGGCTGAAGAAACCTGTAGTTCTAATCCAGCCATAGTTAGGAGGAAGAAAATTGCCATAAGCATCATCTTTTCCCTGTGTGAGAAAGAAGAAGCGCAACGGAATTTCCAGGACTTCTTTTTTTCTCATTTCCCCCTCTTTGAATCTCACATGAACAGGCTAAAGAGTGCAATTGAAAAGGCCATGATCTCCTGTAGAAAGATTGCAGAGTCAAGCCTCCGTGTCCAGTTTTACATCAGCCGTCTGATGGAAGCTCTGGGAGAATTCAGAGGGACTATCTGGAATTTATATTCTGTTCCAAGGATAGCTGAACCAGTATGGCTTACTATGATGTCAAACACTTTGGAAAAAACCCAGCTCTGCCAGCGCTTTCTCAAGGAGTTTACACTTCTGATAGAACAAATCAACAAAAATCAGTTTTTTGCTGCCTTACTGACTGCAGTGTTAACCTACCACCTGGCTTGGGTACCAACTGTGATGCCTGTTGATCACCCTCCCATTAAGGCCTTCTCAGAGAAACGTACCTCTCAATCAGTGAACATGCTGGCCAAAACACATGCGTACAATCCTCTCTGGGCACAGCTGGGTGACCTTTATGGAGCTATAGGCTCTCCAGTAAGACTGACTCGCACTGTGATGGTAGGGAAGCAGAAGGATTTGGTCCAGCGCATTCTTTATGCTCTGACCTACTTTCTCCGTTGCTCTGAGCTGCAAGAGAACCAGCTGACCTGGAGTGGGAATCACAGTGAAGGTGACCAAGTTATAAATGGGAGCAAGATTGTAACAGCCTTGGAGAAAGGAGAGGTGGAGGAGTCCGAGTATGTGGTAGTGACAGTGAGAAATGAGCCTGCTCTGGTACCCCCCATCCTACCAACAGCAATGACTGAGAGAAGGAGCCCTGGGCCCACAGGGTTAGCTGGGACTCCAGAGGGCACTGACATTAGAGACCTGGATCCCAGACCTGACAAAGAAGGAAAGAAGAGGCCAGACCAGGGATCTGAGGCTCATAGCATGGGGTTCCAAGAGCCAGAATTAGACAATTCTTGGAAACCTCATCCCCTTTGTGGGGATGAAGGAAGTGAAAAAGAGGCACCATATGATGTCCCTTCGAGGTTTCCCAGGTGTGCCATTCCAGGGGCAGAAAAGAAGATCAGCCGGCCAGCTGCCAATGAGGAGCTGAAAGAGGAGATAACTAAGAAGCCTGGCCTTGCCCTTGTCCTGACAGACATTCCCGAGAGAACTCTCCAGTAGAAAAGGTCACTTTCCAAATTGGAAGCTCCCTATCTCCAGAGTCTGACTTTGAAAGCCGCACCAAAAAAATGGAGGAGCGGCTGAAGGCCTGTGGACAATACCCAGAAGTGGCCAGTATCTCAGCTGAGTCCAGTTTGGCTGCGGACGTGGCTGAGAGCCAGCAGGTTTCTAGGTGCTCCTTCAAGCCTGGCTTTCAAAAGAATGTCTGTTGTCCTCAGAATCGATCTTCTGACGGAGAGGAAGGTGAATCTGACAGAGGTTTTGCTGAGGACAGAGGTATCAGACCTGACGTGGCAGCAGATGCTGGGCAGCTCAGCCAAGCTGTTCCCACTGACAGTGCGGCGGGAACTGGAAGGAGAACACTGGAGACAACTAGAGGTTTGTATTTGAAAGATGTGGAAGGACCTTCATTAGAACCTGCCCCCGACAGGTGTGTCCAGCAGGTCTCTGGCTTCTTGGTTGCTGCAGATGTCCCCTGTGGGGATGCCGATAGGAAGGCTGACTTCAGGATTGAAGGAGACATTCCCAGAAACAAAAGCTCCGATATGGCTCTTGGAGACAGTGACGATGAAGCATGTGCTTCAGCCACATTGGATCTAAATCACAGTGGTGACAGTTCTGAAGGGACCTTAGAAGTGGAGCTGCCTCTGCCAAGGTCTCAAAGCATCAGCAACCCAAATGTAAGAAACTTTGGCTTCTGTCTCCTGGCGGGTTACTGCTCCTCATACATGCCTGATCTGGTGCTTCATGGGACCAGCAGTGATGAGAAGCTGAAGCAGTGCCTGGTGGCTGATCTTATCCACACAGTGCATTGCATCATGCATCTTGAGGACAGACTGCAGGAGATGTATCTTAAAAGCAAAATGCTGTCTGAGTATCTTCAGGGACATACACGAGTCCACGTGAAGGAATTAGGTGTTGTGCTGGGGATTGAATCTAACGACCTGTCGCTGCTGATTGCTGTTGCCAGTAATCATTCTCCTTACGTGGCTCAAATACTCCTATAAGCTGAAGCTCAGGACAGTTCTTCCTTGGAATAAGAAAAACAAATTCTCAACTGAAGAAGAGAGGAATAAACTCTCTGGGACATCCAAAGCATGAGAAGAGCAAACAAATAGTCATTCCACCGTTTGTTTTGCATTGTTACTTTTGAGTGGGTGCTTCATTGGAAGAGAAGACAGGTTTACTCTAAATACTGGCATTTGTGATTTTCAGGAACACTTTAGGCCTTTGTTACCCATGAATCAATCAGGGGAGAGAGTGGCCTTTCTGGTGGGGGAAAACGTAAGCACTACACTGAACACTCAGCGTTTGGTACTGATTGCCTTGTGCTGTCGGGCAGAATAATGATGGGTGACTTTGGAGCAGGGAGGTAAACAGTGTATGTAACATTCCAGTAGGAAATGTTTCAGAGTTTAAGTCTAAGCACTGCAAGCTGTAGAGAGCAGAGTACACTAGGCTAAAGTCAGAACAAGGACTTTGGATTCCAGGTCAGAGTTTGCTTTTTAGAAAAGAAAAGTGAAATGAAGAAAGCCATTTTTGGCTGTAGCAGCTGATTGCCATAAGATGTGAAAGAAAACTGCCTATTGGGAAGAGAGAGAGTGCTTTTGGGGACCCTCTGTTCTCATTTCTCCTCAGAGTTTACCTTGTTTCAGATGCAGCCACAGGTAGGTTAGAGATGGATTGCTGGTGCAATACACCCAAGAGTCAATGTAGCATCCTAATCCCATCAAGATGTAGTTTGTAGCAGCAAAGCATAGTCTGACGCCATATGTTTTATCATTATGATTTAGAGTTCTCAGCAGCCTTTTCAAGAGAGGCCATTTACCAAAGTTATTTCTATAAGCTCAAGAGTGTTTCTGTGGGTGAATTCTTCCAGCCAGAGCCACTTTCTTCCTAGAATAGTTTATACAAATGACTATTTATACTTTTAAAGACACTGCTGTCCCCATGAGAAATGAAACCTGCAATAATTCAGGATGGTCAGTGAAAGCAATTAGTTTGAACATTAAGAAAAAGGTTCATACATGGCCTAAATTTTTACATTATCATCTCTGTACCTCTTAATCCCTATGTCTTTTCAAAACATCTTCCCAGAAATTGACTTGACCATTTTATAAAACCTACCAAAGTAAAGAATTAGTAGTCCAATTCACTTAAAAAAAAACTTCAATTGTCTGTTAATATTAAAGAAACTTAGTTTACTGACCATGAAACAGTCTAAGTCCTGACATCCAGGATAAAGTAAAACACTTCAAAAATTTAAAAAATGATGGTCAAAAGACAGGAGCTAATGTAATAAGGCAAAACATTGTTAGCATTTCAGCCCTTTCTGTGAATCTTCTGTTCCTAAGAATATGAGGTGACCTCTTTTTTATGGGTTGGAATTAGTTCACATTTTATGTTTGATAAAATCCTGACCCTGTCCATAAGTTCGTCTCTCATTATGGTCTGTAATTATTTGAGAGCATCTACAGCTGTTCCAATGGAGGTGAATGGCTGTACTGTTTATTTATTAGGAATAGGTCAGAACTGCTACCTTCCTCTTTCTCCTTTGTGCTGCGAAAGTAGATGGGTGCTTCAAGGTTCTGGAGATCTTTAATTTGCATTTTATGTCTTGGTTTCGCAAAATTGAAGTTTTCCATTTCCTTTTGCCTAACATTGGAGTTTGGTGTTTTCAGTTCTCTGGTTCCATGACATCATTGTTTGCTGTTTGTTACGGAAGGAAAATGAACCCCACCTGTAGCTCGGCCCACTCAGCACTTGCTTTTCCTTGCATGTGAATAAATTGTCAAAGCTGTCATTACAGCTTTTCCGTCTGCACCAGCTTAAAGCATTCCCTTCTGGTTCCCTTCTCCTTGTTTACATGTTGTGGGCACCTTGCCTCAGTCACCACCTTCCAGGGTTTCTAGAAAATAACCTGATTCAAAATCAGTTCAGTTCTAATGTGGGCATTGTGGCGTGCTGAAAATCAGACCCTTACGGGGAAAATTGAGCTTTAAGTGACTGATTTTCAATCCCATACATAAAAAATCTAGCCCAGCTCCCCAATGCCTGCGAAAATTTAATTTGTCTCTTGATCTAATATTCCAAAACTCACTCTTAGAAAAACACCTATTGGGAAGCTACAAGTGGGTCACAGGTCGTCTCAGTGACACTCAGGATTCCTGTCAGAGCCGAATCCTCATATCTATCGCCTACAAAAACACACCAAGAATGTTGCTGCTCTTTTTTTAAAGCCTCCTTTAATATTTAACATGCAAGTCTTTGTCTTAAATTCAACCTCTTCCTAGAAGCAAAAAAGGAAAAAAATCTCATGGGATTGTGTTGAGAGACAACTGCTCGCACATCACAGACCACCCCGTGACTTCATTCTTGTCTCAGCTGAACAGTTGGAGGGATCCCACCTGCTCCCATGCCCACCTCAAGAAGAAAATAAAAATTAAAAAAAAATAAAGAAATCTACCTCAGTTGACAGGATTCCAACTTTAGGGTTTCTTCAACTTTTAAGTCTTACCTGTTGAGTGTAACTTTTGTGGCATCTTGCTTTCTCAAGCAAGCTAGTGAGGCATGACAGAGCAGAAGTATGTGAATGTTACTGTGATGGACCTCTTTCTAGCATGTTGCAGTTTTATTTTTAATAAATTGATAAGTGATATGAATGTAAAGGTAATTGTGTATGTTTTAAACATGACAATGAAAATTTGAAATGTAGCTTCCATACTTGTGCATAATTCCAAAGTATTTATTTTTATCAGTGTTAAATAGCTTTTTGTACAGGCTTCAAATCCATTTTCTGAAGTGTGCTGTTTTTTAATGAAAGTAACTATAATGTTTTCACATCCCATGGAACTGCCATTTACACATTGCAACTTTTTAAACTGACCATATTTTTCAAAATTAACTTTTTTGGAGGGAGGAAATTTCCCCCTTGCTAAATGATACTAAACTGTTGTTTGGGCTCTTATAATTAGGTCCTCAGATTTTATAAAAATTTAGTCTGTAGCTTTTTAGGTTCTTTACTAGAGTTGGTTGTATATAAAGAATATAAAGTGACCCCAAAATTCTTTTAAATATCTGGATTTTTCCACTAATATGTACTTTGGGGAGCATTTCATTCTTGCATACTTTCACCATTAAATTGAAGAAAAAAAGTCTTTAGCTTTTCTTAGTTAATGTGAACGATTTGTTTTGTTTAATTCTTCTTGGGGGGGGGGATATTTTAATATAATTTCTGCCTAAATCAAACTTCCCTCTGAATGTTAACTTTTAAATGTCAGAATTTGGTGAACCATATATCTAGGAAGTGAGATCGCAATATGCTTAAATTTGAGGCAGATAAGGAGAAAATTCTGGGAATTGTTATTGAAAGTCCATTAAGAGAAATTGATAGGACTTTATAATTTTGGTGAGCTGAATAGATACCAATGTCAACGTGTGGAAATTTTTTCTTAAAACTTGTTCATGTATTATTTTGATCAATTTTTCTGTGGCATTTGGTGCAATAAACCTTTTGAATTTAAAAAAAAATACATAAGCTCATTCTGTAATTGAAAATAATTTTGACTTTGCTGGTGGTCCAAATTGAAATCAAACATTTATTTCTTGGCAACATTCAAGGTTGTTTAGATACCATAGAGAAAAGATACATAAGTATATTTTTACACTAAAAACCAGGATCAAACACTCATCTTTTATCCCTAAAAAAGTTTAGACTTTTATTTTATATTGTATTGTGTTTAACAGTGTGCCAGTACCTACATTTGTACTGATGAACCATTTTCCTTTTGTCTTTCTTGTCCCATTGATATCTTCTTTATGCTAAATAGAAACAAAACCCTCATTTTTCTCTTTTACAAGCTCATACCTTCTTGACCACAGAATTTCTTCTGAAGTCCCTGAAAGAGATCTAGGGAAGTGGGATAGGTGAGACAAGAATCTAGCAGTTAATACATAGAACATGCTCCAAATAGAGACAATTCCACTTGCAGATAGGAATTGGAAAAAGAAGACTTGAATAATTTAATTTTATTCTTAGTTATTTTGTTAACTATGTCTGGTTCATGTGTATAATGTTTCTTAAAATAACTACTATTTTACTTTGAATTTTTAAATATCTTTATTTTTTAAATTTATTTATTTGTTATGTGGTGCTGAGGATTGAACCCAGGGCCTCAAGCATGTGAGGCAGGCGCTCTACCACTGAGCCACAATCCCAGCCCCATTACCTTGAATTTTTGAAAAAAAAAACCCAGCATAAATTTTAAGTGTATCTGACTTTCCATGCTTCCCTACACAGCTATAAAGAGTATAAAAATGGAGGCTATAGCTTAATTGTGGGGTTTTAATTAGTGGAACAAAATATATATAAATGAAATTTCTACCTCTGCTTCCTCCCTTTCCCTGTGTGTTTTCTTTTTATTCTCAATTCTAGCTCTTTAAGAAATCTTAAGAGTCTGAGGATGTAGTTCAGTGGTAAAGTGCTTGCCTGGCATACATGAGGCCCTGGGTTCGATCCCCAACACCAAATACACACACACACACACAATCTTAAGATGATGAGCTTTCCATCGATTATGTCATGCATTTATATATTTCCTCTTTTTTAAAATTTTTATCTATTTTAAATTCATTTTAATTAATTATACATGATGGTAGAATGTATTTTATACATCACATATAAATGGAGTATAACTTCTCATTCTTCTGGTTGTACATGATGTAGAATCACACTGGTTGTGCAGTCATATATGCACATGGGGTAATAATGTCCAATTCATTCTACTATCTTCCCTATGCCCATGCTCCTCCTCCCCTCCCCTCTGCCTAATCCAAATTACCTCTATTCTTCCCTGACCACCCCCCCTTATTGTGAATTTGCATCCTCATATTAAATAAACATTTGGCCTTTTGTTTTTTGGGAATGGCTTATTTCACTTAGCATGATATTCTACAGTTCCATCCATTTACCTGCAAAAACCATAATTTCTTTTTTTAATATTTATTT